AAGACAACAGCAAACAGGGCATATTTTCTCAAATAGTATTAAATACTAACTAAATATAAGCCTCTTATGGGTAAAATCCAAATAGCAATAGTTTATTGTAAATGAGAATTATTTTTAGATTAGATAATCTAATAGCACAGGTATTTCTTAACCTAGTATCTGAAGCTATGGGAAGGGAATTCCTAACAAAAAATTGTTTTCCTATAGGTGGATATAAATAGCTTTCTGCATAGCCGTAAGTTTTAAGACTATCTTGATTTTTGCCATTCCTGCCCCTGCCTCTCCTGACAGCAGTAACACAAAAATGATAAAAGCCAGCCCTTTAAAATAGCTCAGTGAAGAACTGAAATACATATACACCTTAGCAGTAAACACGAAAATCCTACAGAAAATAGATCTCTAAGCAACCGAGACCAACTGCAGCTCTATCAGAACAGGGTTACAAAAAAAAAAAAAGACCAAATACTCCTTGTGAACATTTATCATACCTTTTTATATTACTGGTTTTAACATTGCTATGCTCAGCCCTCCAGAGCCAGCCAGCAGGGCTGCACAAATGTGCTTTTTTTTTTGATTGTTTTTATGGTTCAGAAATCAGTCACTGACTGATTTCCAGTTGTAGTTTGTTAGACGCAATTGCAGAAGAGACAGTTTGACTTTTAGAACCAATTAGGCAATCACAATACACAGACTCTCTTCTGCCTTTATTTTTTAAGATCAATCGCCGAAGAGAATTTTATAGCAAAGTGCAAACAAGCATTTGAGAGGAAGCTGATGAATACTAAGGAGGCCTCTCTTACCCAGTCAGATGATACTCATGCCAAATAAGGTACAAGGACATGCATGCTGAGGACTAACAGGAGCTACTGAAGTACTTTTGAGTTTGCAATTGGAATTATTGAGGGGGAAGAAGCAGAGAATCAGAGCAACAGCAACAGAGCTATTTCACACTAGGTACTTAAAAGCTGGTATCTCCAGTGATAAAAATCTGATAACAGAATGGAATTAAATCCATCTGTTTGCTTTCTGCCTGGAGAACTTCAATTTTGACCATCAAAGCTAAAAGTAGTAGAAAAGCAAGTTCAGACAGCCTAAGCAGTGGCCACAGATAACTTCAACAGTCTTCAGCTTTATGCATACTGTTTTAGAAGGGAAAGAAATATGCAATAAAATGATGCAGAACGTTAAGACGGAGATCGAAAGGTAAATAAGCTCCTGTTGCTAACTCATAGCTAACTATGAGTAAAAGATTACACAAAGTTCAGTTAGAAAGCATTGCACCGGTTTTTACATAACCTGTGGAACAAAGTGCTACCAGAAAATACCTAAGCATTTAGGATCCTGGAGTATTTCTACAGAGAAAATGTTCATAATCACATAAATTAAAGAATTCTATATAGATTGTTTAAAAACATTAACCTACCAATAATCTGTTTCAGGATTAAAGCCCAACTTTCTTCATAACCTGATGAAATTCTATCTAACAGGAATTCAGAGAGAACACATTCTTTACTGCCTTCTCTAGTACACAGGCTGCTTTTCACAGTGGCCCATAGAAATGTGTTCAGCAGCAGGAAGAAGTGGAAAAAAAAGGTAACATCCAACACTTAGTAACTTAAAGAGAATGCAATCATGGATGAGATGACACCGAGTCCAACAAAATGCTAGAAAGCAAAACTGAATTAGCTTTTTTTCCCTACCCCTTAAGAATTCTCTATACTGTTAAAAAAAAATTTAACAGATAATTTTTACAGAGTATTTACAAGATTTTAATTTTTATTTCAGAAAGTTAAAAGGCATAATTTAAAAGCCTCTTCAATTTTCTACCCATTTGATATTAAATAAAGTGGCAAAAAGGTCACAGCAGTTTATTTTCCAGGTAAGATCTCTGCTGCGTAGAATATGGATACAGAAGATGAGACAATACAGAACTTCTCAAACATTAGCTTTTTAAAAGGTGAAACACCTAGCATGAATGCATGCAATAGCATAGAGCAGAGCTGGTTTGTGCACAATGGCTTTAAGCTTTTGTGTTATCTATTTGAATGATTTTATTAAAGCACTCAGAATAGCTGCCATAAGTAATGCCTGCCAATTTGTCACAGACTACAAGGACACCCCCAATTTCAAATTAAGCATTTCAGCAGTGGTTTAGAGTGTTTTACTGGGCAATTTTGGGTACTATTCCTTCAGAAAACCAGGTTGCCTTCATATTATTTATGAGTTGAATATGAAATACTGACTTTCAAGTCCATCACTGGCTAAGACCGGATACTATCCATAGTGCTTCGGTGCAAATTCACACTGTAATCCACTTGTGGAGATAAGCAGGTTCTCCAAAGCATGGTGTTCAATAAGTGATGGAAACAAAGGTTTCAGGGAGGCTGGAGTACTGGGTGCAAGCAGCGTGTTAAGAGAGAAAAGTAACCTGAATCACATCTCAAGGCTTTTGTTTGCCACCTACTACAGTTATTAATGCACACTGACAAGAAACTTGACTGCATGACCATACTGTTGATAAGCCAGCACAATACCATATTTTCCATCTCAGCAGCACACGTAGCCTGGAATCTTGGAGACTAATCAAGCTTCAAAACAACAGGAATGTATGCATGAAGCTGGTGGCAACCAGCCAAATATCTGGAACAGCACCTGATGGACTGGCCATCAGGAGCCCTGTCTCTGACTGAGACTCACCTTTCCCATATTTAAAAGTCCTTTCAAAGAGCACACTTGGAATGGATGAAGAACGTCTTCAACAAAAAACAGACCACCTCAGACGCCAGTTACCATCTAATTACAATTTGTATCCCCAGAAAAAACACTATTTGCAGAATAGTGCTTGCAGCTCACCAACATCCCCAATGGCTATTTGTGCTCTTTTGGGTTTAAGCTTCTTTTGTACTAGAGACACAGTGTTAATTACGGCTTTCCTACACAGGCACAATTTGGAAGTTAGGAGCAACGTGTTGTACTTACTTTTTTTGATGACACTTCAAGTCACATGAAGTGACAACTTGACAAGCGGGAGAACACTTACTGAAACAGTACATTTCTTTAAAATGGAGACTCTCAAGACAAAAAAGAAATTAAAACTTTGCAATTTGGGGTGTTTTTTCTTAAAGCTATAAAATCTGAGCTTGCAGTTGTGGTGCTTCAATGCCCATGGGTAAAGAAAAAATCCAAGGGGGATGTTGGATTCCATTTGTTTTCTTTATAAAGGTATTATCTCCTCTTCTCTTTTGAATGTTTTATTTCAATACCCACAGACTAAGTTCCCAGGTTCTTTTGTTTGGGGTTGTGGAAGTTTTCCCCTCTGATTTTTTGAAGGTCAAAGTGGTAGCTCAGATTCCAGGATGTTTCATGTACAAAATTAATCATGCGCAATTAGCAAACTGATGAAAGAATAAAATGGAAGTGAAGATTAATCACATCTTCCATCATCAGTGAGGACAGGAAGTTAAGTACACGTAACATCAACAGCTATTCCCACCCACAGTCTAAAGGTGCAGCAGTACTTTAATCTCTATCAGAAAGATACAGTGAACAAAGCTAGGAAGGCAGAAAAAAATACATGTACACTCTTGTCCAGCTGCAGTATTGGTGTACTGAATTTCTAATACCAAAGCTTAAAACCTGTAGTGCAAAAAACTTTCTCTGGGAATGAAATACAAGGACAGGAACAGAACTAGTCAACTGAACCACCCAGTCAGCGTCTCGATTAAACCTAATATGAAAGCAGAAACATAAGGGGCAAAACAAAACCATATTAGGTAATAAAATAAAAACAGGTTTAAGAAAATCCACAAACCAACACACACACACAGAGCCCACATCACCTTCCAGAAAGTCTTATGCTCATGAAGAGGTTTTACACATGAAGAAAGTCACAGACCTCATTCATAGTGCCGAAAAGGAAATCAAGTATTAGATAAAACTAATTTTCAATTTGCCTTTTGAAAAGAAACAAACACCTGATGTGTACCCTTCAACCACCTAATGCAGTTAATGTTCTTTAAGAGCTAATTCTGGCAAGCTTCCTGGCAAAAGCAAAGGGGAGATTATTGCTGCTCAGTGCTCTGCAACACTCTTCTGGCAGGAAGGTCATGTAACAGTAAATGGACAACTGACTGCATCCTGTAGCAAGACAAGAGCAGTCACTGCACTGAAGCACATGTCCTTTGTGACCATCTCCTGAAGCATATTTCATATAAGAACCATGACTGAATTTGTTGACTCTGCCCAGCTGTGGTGGGACCAATCTCTGAAGTCATTCTGCAGCCATACTGGCACAACTACCAGCAGGCCACATTTCACTTGTATTTTAGTGACTTGGGTAAAATGACATTGCAGGCAAGGTCAAAGGGTAGTTAGTTCCCTACTGGAGTGACTAAACTAGCCAAGAGTGTCCTGCTTTATGCAATACCTAAGTGCAGATGTGCTGTTCCCCGCTTTGAACACTAAGGATGAAACAGAATTCCAGACAGTGCAGTAACTACGCTCCTGATTCTGTTCCACATGGCATTTCTCCCAAATGCAATTTTCACTTTTCCAACTCCCAGAACCTAAGGGGAGAGGGGAAAGGGAGGAATCATCAAATCATTTAGGTTGGAAAAGACCTATAAGAGATTTTTCAGGAATATCTATACAGTGGGAATTACAAAGCTTATGGATTACTGTTAGCCCTGCTCATGTCATGCTCTCGCATCTGTCACCTGGGTAAAAAAAAGCAGACCATCCTTACTGAGCATGGTTTCTCAGAGTCACCTGCAAACCCTGTTATCAGCCAAAGCAGTATGTGTGCAGCTATGCTAAAACTAGCAAACATTTCTGTAATCAGTTAGCACTGTACTTGTTTCAGTATTGCCACCAACACTTGCTGAAAGACAAACCCCTCAGTTGTTTCTAGAGTAAAGCGCATTATCTGTCTCTTTCCAAGTCCATGAAGTATTTTATAAGATATATCTAGTTTGATGTATGCATCTAAAAGGAAACAGTACCTTTAATGTTCTAGTTGGAGCCCAGCCAGTGCCATCAATTGAATGTTCTCTCAATAAACTGGAAAAAAAAAAGACACATGTATTATACAGTGCAACTTCTACATAAACAACCATTGTCAGAAATCTTTTCAGAAAGCATTAAAAACTTAAGGAGAAGCTGCAAGACAAAAATTACCTCTTCTGCTATATCTAGATACTGGGATTTTAAAGTACAAGAACTGTTATGTCTTAGAATTACATTCCACATAGTGCTACTACAGTGTAGAAATTCTACATGACCTGCATCGTATTCTACATACTTAGTCCAGTGAAGCTGTTGACCTATTTACAAGTTGAAATCATTGAGGTGTATTTAGTAGGTTAGTCATTACTGGACCTTTCAGGTCAAACATCAGCAGTTATGGGAAGTAAGAATATTGGAGATCAGAACACAACTGAGAAACAAACTGAAGTCTTGCTCACGTTTATGAAAGCAAAAGTAATAATCTGAATGTCTGAATGAGAAAGTCTGGAAAACTCTTGGAAGCATCTTTTCCTAAGCACGTCTTCCTCTGTTCCTAAGTTATCTAAGCCAGAAAACTCATACAGCAAAGTAGGAAAGCACAAAAAAATCGTCACCAGCAGCAGCTTCTACTATTGAAGTAATAGGTTTAAAGTGCAATAGTCTTAAACTATTAGGCTTTACCAACTTGCAGGATAACATGTATTAAGTCATTTTTAAATTACAGTAAATGACGGGACCATACAGCCTCTGTCTAGTTATTTATTGGATATGCCTAGTTTTTAATCCAAGGAAATAAGCATTAATCCTTTTACAATGTAGAGAGGCTAGGAACAGGAAGATCATATTGAACAAGACCATTCCACCTTAACTGTGCTGCTCATCTTATTTCTGTGCCTTGGAATAGATGAAATATGCCACTACCACTAGTGAAGCTCATAGCTAATTTCAAGAACGTGAAAAATAACATCTTGCGGCTGCGGTATTTCTACATATTACAAAAGTAAAAGCAAAAATGCTGCTGAACCCTGACCTGGCAAGAGATAGGATTTTCAGGTTTTGAGCAAGCAGAGACTTCTTAGCTTGCTTTCTGTCTGCTCCTCATCAAATTGTGCTCCAGTACTCCCCTTTGCCTCGTCATATACCTCACTGTGAACTTAAAAGTGAGGAGCAAGTTAACACACACAATAAAAAGACGAAAATCTCCACTGATGGAGCTCAAAGTGCCTGAGCACAACAGCTAAGCCTCATTAACACCCCCCCCCCCCAAAGCCTCAGAGCTCTCTTGGCACATCTCCAGCAGCCAGGACTTGAGACACTCACACTTCTCAGAGCTCTGGCAGAAAAGCAACAAAGATATGCAAACCTAATACTTCTCATGTGCCGATGCATTTTTAGAGCAGCATCCTCCTTCTCCCTAAAGATTGAGAATGATCATTAAGCCTCTATTTAAAACCTTTCCCCAGCACAGGGTGTCTAGAGAAATTGCATCTTGTGCTCTCCATGGGGATCACCTAGATATAACTGCCAAACAGTTCTGAGGTCTGTCTGAACGGTGACCTGCTCTCAAGAGCATCATACACACAGCAGAATGAAGGCTAGATGAACAGAAACATACAAACCACATTACGTACTAGTTTGGTAGATGAACAAGCATCTGCACATAGCTTCTGCTGAAAGATCTATGATCAGTGAGTCCTACTGCCAGAGAGGACCTGGGCTACTTGGAAGTTCTCAAATGGCACAACCAGCAGAGTTTCTCACCCACTCAGTGCTTCAAAAGGCTGCCTTTGACAGCCTGCATTATACAGCACAAAAGTCACTTGTTCCACCAAAGTTTCAAGACATCTGATGGACAGAAAAGCCTTTTTACTTGACCATTCTAAAATAGCCAGGGCTTTGCTGTCTCCTACAACAGGAGCGCTCTAAAGCTCACCTAGTACTATTTAGCTTGAATAAACATTCCAAAGCTTCCCTTGTGATGCTTGAGAATTAATTTGCAAAAGTAAAGACAGGGATAAACCAACTGTGCAACTTCTGCAGCATTTCAAACTACTAAAGCTGGTGAGCAAGTGTATGCAATGGAGCTGGTAAAAGGTCCGGAGCACAGGTGTGATGACAAACAGCTGAGGGAACTGGGGGTGCTTAGTCTGGAGAAGAGAAGGCTCAGGAGGACCTTACTGCTCTCTACAGCTACCTGAAAGGAGGCTGTAGTGAGGTGGGGGTTGGTCTCTTCTCCCAGGTAACAAGCAATAAGACAAGATGTAATGGCCTCAAGCTGCACCAGGGGAGGTTCAGACTAGATATTAGGAACAATTCCTTCACCAAGAGGGTGTTCAGACATTCGAACAGGCTGCCCAGGGCAGTGCTGGTGTCACTGTCCCTGGAAGTGTTCACAAACCGTGTAGAGGTGGCTCTCGGTGTCATGGGTTAGTGGTGGCCATAGCAGTGCTGGGGTAAAGGTTGTACTTGATTACCTTAAAGGTCTTTTCCAACCTGGTTGATTCTACAATTCTATGACTTGAAGCAGAAGTAGCAGGGCTGGGGGTGAGCACTGTGGCATGAGCAGGAGATTGTCAAGGTGGGGACCTTCACCAGGAACAGGGAAGAGCAGTACAACCCTATTTCCATTCGCTTTGTCTTCAGCAGCAGAACCTGAGAAAAGTTGAGTGTGTCCTCAGCCACTGGGGACCTAGAACTCATAACTGCCCTGTAACATCAGCTGTTTGTATCTAAGGAGATCTCCCAGACAGATTTCAAATCTTTATATCTGAGTTCCAATGGGAAGACTGCAAAAATCAGTATGTTTGAGGCTATAGTAACCAAACCAGCCGCTGATGTGACCAGCCAGCTGCTCAGCTTGAATTTCCACAAATAACTTCTCATTTTGTGAGCAATTCCTATGTTGAGAGGTGGGCTGATGCCAACCTCATTAAGTTCAACCAAGCCAAGTGCAAGGGTCAGGGCAAGCCTGGGCACAGATATAGGTTAGGCAGAGATTGAGAGCAGTCCTGCAGAAGAGGACTTGGGGTGTCGGTCGATGAGCCGGCTTCAGTGTGTGCTTGCAGTCCAGAAACCAACTGTGTCCTAGGCTGCATCAAAACAAGCATGACCAGTAGGCCAAAGGAGGTTATCCTTCCCCTCTACTCTGCTCTTGTGAGATCTCACTTGGAGTACTGTGTGCAGTTCAGCTGTTCTCAATGTAAAAAGGACATGGAGCTGTTGGAGCAAGTCCAGAGGAGGCCATGATGATGATAAGGGGATGTAGCACCACCTGTATGAAGACAGGCCGAGAAAGCTGGGGCTGTTCAGCCTGGAGAAGCTGCGCAGAGATCTCATAGCAGCCTTCCAGTATCTAAAGGGGGGGACTCTTCATTAGGGAGAGGGACACTTTATTAGGGACTGTAGTGATAGAACAAGGGGTAACGGGGTTCAAACTTAAACAGGGGAAGTTTAGATTAGATATAAGGAAGAAGTTCTTTACTGTGAGGGTGGTGAGGCACTGGAACAGGCTGCCCAAGGAAGTTGTGAATGCTCCATCCCTGGCAGTGTTCAGGTCCAGACTGGATACAGTCTTGGGTGACATGGTTTAGTGTGTAGTGTCCCTGCCCGTGGCTGGGGAGTTGGAACTAGATGATGTTAAGGTCCTATCCAACCCTAACTATTCTATGATTCTATGAAACTAGATGACTCTAGTTTCTAGATGAAACTAGATGAATCAGTCTTCAAACATTTCTCCAATCAGCAGCCTTTAATATTACCTCATGAAGCAACCAAACTTTAGCTAGCAATATTTACTGCTGAAAAAGACACATCTGACAACACTGACCACCTCATCATGGCGCAGAAAAGCAGTGAGATTTGAGTGATTAAACTGTTTCTAAAAGCTTATGCAGTCAATGAGAAAAAAAAAAAAACAAAACACACCATCTCAGGCAGAAATCACATCAACAGAAGTTAAAAAATAAAACATTGACATGCACTACACACTGTCAAAAGAGCAGTCAACTGGCCTAATTTTTCTAGGTATCCCAATGTTTTTCATTCACATGTGAGTATTGCCTCCACTGCATAAGTATGGTCCAATGTGACCACAATGCGTAAAGCACAGAGAAACAACACTTTTTCTTCCCCAAACTATTACACTGGATCACAAGCGTAATAATTCGGTATGTTTTAATTCAGGGATGACTACTGAACCACATACCATGGTGTGAGGTAAGTTCAGTAAAGAGACAGCTAGGAAAAATACCAATGAGGATTTTTTCTGCTTTTAAAAATAACTGAAGCTATTTTAACGTAAAGACTTGTGTATAAGTTGATTGCAGGTACTATATATAGAGAGCATGCTCCATTACAACAGGCATAAAGCAATCAAAGTTATTTTAGTTTTCCCAACTAAATGGTAAGACATTTCAGAGGTTTGAGATGCTAAAGTATTTGACAATCAAATAAAGCTGACATTTCAGTGCAAATGCTGAAGAATTACTTCAGCAAAACTATGATGTTCCAACACTACATTTCATCTTTACTAATTAAAACTGTTTAAAGACAAGAAACAGTGACATATGCTCAAGAATGTGAGGCTTTATTTAATCCCAGAAGACGCTGCCCTGTAGTCAGAGGTTAAACTGTTAGCTGTCATTTGGTGTACAGTATTTCTTGTTCTGATTCCAAACAGCTCACTTACTCATTCTTTTACTTGTGCTATTAGACTCAGATCACCTAAGCTTTCTCCACTGACTAAGCCACAAGGACTTAGGTGGAATTTAAACTGTAAATCAGTCTCCCTACTGTCAAATGACAAGGCACTGAAACACACTACAGAATTGCTAAAAGTAGCAATACATATTTGCCAAAACAGCTTCTGTATCATCAGCTTCAAATAATTGTGTACAAGCAGATTTTTATGTAGTTTCAGAGGATTTAGTATGTTTTTCCACTGCTTTTAAATCCTTCAGTCTGCAGGAAAGACACCAGCCCTCACTGCCTGTAATCCTGCCACAGTCCGGCACTAGTGAGTACCATAAACATACTACAGCCTCCTCAGGCTGGTT